ATTACTGGGAAATCTAAGCCAGTATTCAAATGGAAGGGGAGAGGGGAAGTTGGCTTTTGTGCTGGGTTTTTGGTTTTTTTCCCCTGTACTCTGATCAAGTGGCAGAGAAAGCTTGGAAGGAATTACAGTGTCTAAGCCCTGTAGTCACAAAAGCACAAGTCAGTGGCAGAAAAGAGTCATAAGAAAAATAAAGATAGAATTGAAAACTTCTAACTAATCTTTCCTTGAAAAAGACATGGTTGAAAATAACACTAGAATTTAATGAAACCCATTGTCCTTATGTGATGTCCTCGTAATTCCATAAGGAACAGAAAAATAACTGAATATCAAATAATTCCTAAACAACAAAAGTAAGAAACTTGTTTGAAATTGCTACAACTACTACTTTATTTTAAAGTTTATTCAAGTAAAATAGATCTTTACAACTATTCAGATGTTCTGGCAAATTATCTAGGTCAGTAAGTCTTCCTAGAGAGGGCTAAAGTTAGTACAGAGTTCACTTGATTCTAGGGTTCTATTCCAAATATCTTTTTGTTCAAAATCAGGATTTGAACATTAGATTTAATTTCTAAGGCTTTTTCTTTCCTTCTGTAATTCAGCCCAATGTTCCTCTCATATTTCACTGAAAAAAAACAAACCCACCACATAATTTAGTATCTCTTATTTGCAGTCTGGAATTTTCCTAACTAGCAAAGTGATAATTTAAAACATCAATAATTTGTTTCCCCACTGAGAACAAATTATTTTTATCTGTATAGTTTTAATCATTCCTTTTTTTATAGTATGAAGGTCAGAAGCTTCTTACTACAAATTTCTTGAACTTCTATGAAGGTCATAAAAGTTTTAGAAAGCCTCCTTGGAGGTTCTGAAGACCTGAAAATACTAACCACTGAACAACTAGGTTCAGATTCAGGGCTGTCCCAGCTCTGAACAGGATTTTGGGGTAGGTGAACTCCTAAGGTCTCCTCCAACATTCTGTGACTTAATCTTTTTGTTTGCCTTACAAAAAGCATTTTCTTGATGAAACATTTTCTAGAAGCAACGGAGCTGATGTGACCCTGACTTTCAGTGTGGGTTTTCTACTCTACTGGAATGGAAATAGAGTAAAACAGGCATAACTTGGACTGGGCTGCCTGCCTGTTAAAAACGGGGGTAATTGTTGGCTGTTCTCTCAACCGACAGCAGAGGGAGCGAATTCTAATGAGAGTTCTTATTCAAATTCTAGGGAGAAGGGTCGAGGCAGGGTCTTTGATACCAAGTTATTGGCTAACATGGAGTAATAATTTTATTTCTTGGCAGAGACCCTAATGGAGATGATAGAAAATAGGGGAGAAGCTGCTCCTGCTGTCCTCTTGAATTCCCCTCACTGAACAATATAGCATAATCTGATGCCAGAAACTGCAAGTGCAAAGAACTCCAAATGAATTCCTGAAGGAAAGGAGAAACCTGACTTATGCCACTTTATCATGTACTCGAGTTGAAAACAAATATATTTAACCTTTTAGAAAGCTTGTAGAAGTCTTGGAATACCTATTTATGAATATTAATACAGCTTGGATTAAACAAAAAACTGAACTACATTTAAAAATATTTCTATAAGAAAAAAAAAAGGTGATATTGCAGAAAAAAAACCAGAATAGTTCTGTGATTTACTTTTTAAAAGTGTATTACATGCCAGATATTATTAAAGCCTTGCTTAGCCCACAGTCAAATACTGAAGACCTATTATTGATGTTCTGAATGCTAATTGCTTCCACCACATTATCTTTGTTGTGAAGCTTCACCTCTTGATGAATGTAACCAGCCTCTGAATGCCAAATCAGCCCCATCAAGTTCAAGTCAAAGGTCTGGCAACAACAGAACCTTTCCACACTCATCAGATGCATTATCATATTGCCAACTTTCCTGCTGAATGTGAACTCCTTGTACTGCCTGGATTTATCTGGAGGGAGGTGGTGATACTGTAAGTAGCTCATCATTCAGACAGCACAAGGAGTATTTACCCAATTAGCTGGTTTAGCCTGAGATAGTGTTACACTTGCTATTATTTAGAGTTTTGATATCTGTCAAGAATTACAGGACAGATAGCTTACTCTGTGTGTGTGTGGTGTGTGTACACATTAAGTCATGTGTCTACGTGATTTACAGAATTCAGCTAAACTCAATTTGTTTATTTCTGGTAATAATTGATCTTTTTTTATTGATACACCTGAAAGGGAACGTTCTTCTTGTTCACCTCACATAACTGACCACCACAAAGTCCATTCCTGAAATCTTGGTGTATGTGCTTCCTAAATCTATTATTTTTGATTAAAATTTTTCCTGAAGCTTAAGAGGAAGATTCACATTACTCTCAAAACATGTAACACCAAACTGGATTAGTTTTTAATAATTCTGTCAAATCTGGATGTCCCTTTTTTTTTTTTGTATTTTTTAGGTTTTGTTGTTTGTTTGTTGTTTTTTTTTTCTTAGAGCATTTACTGAACTGTCTAGTTCTACAGGCAAAATTACTTAAAGACATTTTGATAGACCATTTACCTCATCATAAATTTGTCTTAGAAAGAGTTTGTTTTGTGGTACAGGTCTTGTTATAGTTTTAAGACACATGATGAACAGCATAATGCCCCAACTCCTTCTCCAGCTATGTTATCCATATCATATTTGAGCAAGGATCAATGGTCTTTTGTAATCAAAACACTAATATTTGTGTTTAAAGGCTTTTTTTTCTCCCCATTATTTCAGGACACACAGGTCTTCCTTTGCATCTTAATGAGGTTCACCTCATTTGTCTTTTTTGCACGAAAACACTTATTTATTGAGTTAGGAAAAGCAACCCATATCCAAAGCATGGAATCAGAAGCTAAAGATGAACGTAGGACTCTCAGAAGTTCAGTTCAGTCAGCACAGGGCTGCCTGAAAGCTTCTTTGAATCCACCTAAAATGCTTTTGTATGGAAAGCTCATGAAACTGGCACTTTTATGATTTCTGGGGGTTTACGTATTTTCTGTTGCAGTCGAGTCAGCAATTCAGGACAAACTTATGGTGCTTCCATTTCTGGCCTCAGGTAGCAGAAGGCAACACAATACCCGTGAAGTTCAGATACAAAACTTTATCAGAACTTGTAAAATCATATGGTCCAGCTCTTGGATATGCTGCTGAAACATTGATTTTCATGCTTCATTAAGCAAAATAATGTTTTGCTGGCATTCTATAGTACACAGGTAAACTTCAGTTATCATTTTTTTATCCCTTGCTCCTCTGTTAGATAATGTCATCTGATATATTTCCGGGTGTTGAGCTGTATTTGTACAGCAAATCTTTCTTAGAAGCTACAAAATATTTTGCAGGCTGACATTTTTCTAATGTTACCACTTAATCAGAAGTTAAGAATGATTATTTATCATTGTGTAGAAAAAATGTACAAGCAGAAAATGTTCTTAGAAATATATATAGAAAACCCACCAATATTCTACCAATAAATATCTGTTAGGGGCATTTTCTACTCCTTTTTATGAAGGACTGAAATGTGCAATGTTGACAGTTGTCACTGAAAATGTCCTTTATAAAATAATTCCCTCTACTTCTAGTCCTTTCTTACCCTTACAGTCAGTGTAGTAAAATGTTGAAAACAAAATACTTTAATGATATTATTGCTGCAGCCATTCCTATTTTAAAATGGGGCTTAATCAAAAAGTATTTTTGAGCCATTGGTTTGTAGCAAAGGTTTAAACAATCTGCTTCCGTGGTTTGTTTTTGGAAGCAAAACCAGTTCAAACTGGACTTTTGGCACATTTAACCAGCATTGTTTCAGACTTGGAGTAAAACTTTATATTGGCTCGAAGACTATAGATTTGTTGCAATCTTTGCAGTTCACTGAACTTTTTTCTTTTTTTTTTTTTTCCTGTGCATACATATTTCAAGTAAACTCTGTGGTTATAACAAGTGACACGTTATGGACCCTAAATCGTTGCACTGTGAAATATGCACAGAAAAAGGACAAATGAAGATATCAAGGGTCTGTTCCATTTTTCACTGAACTGTAAAATACCACCCTTGTTGTACAGCAGATCACTGGTTCTGAGCAGGGCTCATTGACTGCTAAGTTGTGGATAGTGTTTCACTTTCTGCAACTGTTAATATCCTGGCTTATCCAGGCATAATGACCTCTCTATTTGTGACACATTGTTGAATTTTCTGGTTCTTTTAACTTATTCAATCCCCCCTTTTTTTTTTTTTCCCCTTTTCTTCATTCATTGGAAGGCTGGAAGGATTCTGAATTGAGCTGTGGTACAGACCTGCCTCACTGTTGGTCAGCCAATTACAGTTGAAATCGGTGGCACATCTGTAGGTAAATATAAATTTAAAAGTGTAAAGGAGAGGTATTCTACATCTGCACTAGCTCTTCTTTTGTAGAGGGTACTGCATGTGTTTTGGATAATGTTGGTATATCTGCAATATTGTTTGGCTTCATTAGTTCTGATACAGTAAGTAATCCATACTGCAATAATCTGTATTATCCTATAGCTGACATTTGATGTTTAAATGGATTGGAATTAGATTCCAACTTTATGACTAGTCACTAAATTACTATTATATCATAATACCTAAGGTATTGAATATTTTAAATGTTGATAAAGATTTACATTTTAAGGACTTTGACACTTCAAAATATGAAAAAAAAAAAAAGAGTTTTATGTAGTGTACAACATTTGGTGTTCAGACCTGAATGCTTCCTCTGATCTTACAAGGATCTAAAGTGAGTGGAAGTGTACCATCTTAGTTCAGATTAGGACCCATGCCTATATTTTTATTCTTCTATTTGTTCCCCACCAGAAGAACAGTGTTTATTAGTTTTTACTTGCATAGTATGTTCTGAATAGCTCCAAGTTTTCTCTGGCCCTGCCATGAGGAAATTGAATTTTGTAGGGCTGTTTAAGCTGCCTCCAATAATAAGTAGAGTATATTTGTGTATTCCTGGAATATGTCAGGTGTATAAATATTTTACTTATCTTCAACGTTGCTGACTGTCTTTTATGCTGTGTTTTCTATGCCTCCTTCCTTCCTAAAATCTGTAAATCCTGCCATACTTCACTGACAGAGAACTTTGAAATCCATATATTGAGTAATATGGTGGGTCTAATATTCAATACTGAAGACTTTTCTCCTGGTATCAGTTTGTATTTTTGTGTCTATTGTTGAAATGTTCTCAAACTCTCCGTTGGTAAATCGAGGCCTCTATGATGTGGTGAGGTTATTAAAAAAAAAAAGGCAAATATTGGTTTAGATGTTGATGCCAGTCTTCCATAGCCTTCAAGAGCCTGAAAAGAATCCACTCACTGTCTTTTTATGTGGCTCCCTGTAAAAGCACCTGCAAATATTTACAACATTGGCCATCACTAGGCCTAGGCCACCACAGAAGAGTCAAAGGGGAAGGAAGATCTCTTAATAAATTATACCTATTACCTAGTTCAGCATGCCATCATTTGCTAAGATGGATGTGTTCCCAGTGGCATAGCTCCAAGGGGTCACTGTGCCTTTTATGCCTGGACTTTTCCGAGAAGAAATGACTGCACGGGATAGGATGAATGTTTTACTAGACCATTGGGCACATTGATTTTTATTTTCATGGATATGTAGATCAAATTGAAATAACCTAAAGGGGCTGATGTGATACCCTGGGACTGTTAGACATGTCAAGATTTGTAGCAAGTCTGTGTGTTTCTACTTCTTGGTACTCCCTGTAGAAAAATAGCGTGGGGTGTCATTGAGATCTGTCACTCGCTGACACTTAGGGGGAAAAAAATAACCCCTACCTCTGCTAGACATTCCCTAGACATGTCCCAGATGAATAAGACTGTGTACTGAACCCAGATTTGATTTATTTGCATTTAAAGCAAGTGTTCTGCAAGTCAGACACGCACAATCCTGGCTGGCTGATATATCCTTAAGCAACTGTCTGTATATTGGCATGTGAAGAATTCCTTCTTGCCTGATGTAGGACACTGCTTCAGAAATGTGTTTTTGTAAACACCCTGAAACTACAGAGCAAGAACAGCTTCTATTTGAAAACTTGATAACACTACATTTATTTAAGGAACCTTTGTTTCAACTGTCATGTCAAAAGGAACTATTTATACAACTATAAAATGTCAAAATTCATAGAGAATGAAGATATTTGGAGAACAAAAATTAAGAAAAACCCAAACAGCACAAACTGAATCTTATTTGAAATTTAGACTTTTGAATCTGCCAGGGACATTTAAGGATTTTTTTTTTTTACATGAATTTGTATCACCCAAGGCTCAAGAAAAAAATGATGTTATATGGGTTATTTAGATCTCAGACTGTATTTTAAACATCAGGGTCATAATTTTCCCTGTATATGTGCAGTGCCTTTTGTTTTATTTGAAGCTGTTTTACAGTTTAAAAAAACCTGCATCATTCTTAGGTAAAGATGAAGTTATCTTCATATCATACAAATTTAGCAGATCTGCCTGTGGAATATAAATTTAAGTTTTGTGACTCTCTGATTTTTGTTCAGCTGATATAGATAACTTAAAATTTATCTAATGGTTTAGAGCTTGTCAGATTGACAGGGAGATTGCAATTTTTGTCTTACTGTCAGGAATACCTACTTTTCCTCTTCTTTTTAGCATGTATTGTTTCCAGCTTTCATATCTGGCATAAAAGTGTTGCTCAGTGTCTCTTTTTTGATATATAAAGAAAGGTTGGTTTTAGTAAAGAAGTGACCACAAGAAGCTAGTCAGGGACAACTTATTAATTTTATATAGTTTGACTTATAAGCTGATTTTCACCATTTCTTTAACTTATAAAAGACTAAAAATTTGGACTGGCTTCAGGAACCTTACTTTAAAGGCTTTACATTCCAATATGTTCGACTTTCAAACTTATTTTTTTTGTAAATCCTCAGAAACAGATGCAATTCTGATATAGAAAATCAGGCTTAGACTATTGTTCTAGGGAAATATGATACTTTCTGATATATTTATTGAGTATTGCTTTAATGCAGACAGTGAAATAAAATGCTACATATGGATAGGTACATATATATCTTTGGAGTCACAAATAAAATAATATTTACCTATATATTTTGAGAAAATGAATGAAGCTACATGTGTAGTGATGTTCCTCAGGGTTCAATTCCAGGACCACTTCTGTTCCATATCATTATCAATGATTGGGATGCAGGAGTTGAATGTACCAGTAGCAAGTTTACTGATGATACCAAACTGGGATGTGCTGTTGACCCTCTTGGGGGATGAGAGACCTTGCAAAGGGATCTAAACAGGCTGGAGCTTTGGGCTGTGATTAATGGGGTGGAATTTGACAAGTCCAACTGCTGGATTCTGCACCTGGGATGGAGTAGCACTGGGCACAGGTATAAACTGGGAAAGGAGTGACTTGAGAGCAGCCCTGCAGACAGGGATCTGAGGGGCTGGTCAGCAGCAACTCTGTAGGAACCAGTGTGCCCTGGCAGCCAGGAGGGCAAACCTCATCCTGGGGGGCATCAAACACAGCTCACCCAGCCAGGAAAAAGAGGTGATTATCCCCCTGAGTTCAGTGTTGGCATGGGCTCGAGTGCTGTGTGCAGTTCTGGGTCACACAATCTGGATGTGAAGGTCCTTGGATGCATCCAGAGAAGGGTAACAAAGCTGGTGAAAGGGTTGGAAGGAATCACAGAATATGCTGAGTTGGAAGGGACCCACAAGGATCACTGAGTCCACCTCCTGGCCCTGCACAGCACCATCCCCAAGTGTCACACCCTGTGCCTGAGAGGATCATCCAAAACCTTCTTGAACTCTGTCAGGCTTGGTGCTGTGCCCACTGCCCTGGGGAGCCTGTTCAGTGCCTAACCACCCTCTGGGGGAAGAACCTCTTTCTAACATCCAACCTGACCCTGCCCTGACACAACTTCAGGCCATTCTGACTTTGGCCTTGTCTGGATTGGAGAAAAGGAGGCTGAGGGGCGACCTCATTGCTCTCCACAGTTTGCTGAGGAGGGTAAGAGGAGAGGGAGGTGCTGATCTCTTCTCCCTGGGATCCAGTGATACGTGGGAATGGTT